AAAGGTCTGCCAATCCAAACCCATGGAACACAGTTCTCTGACACACCTGGGGTCTTGGGGTCTCCATGAGTCAGCGTTGACTCAACAGTAACTGGATCCTCCAACTCCCCTGAGGCCTTGGTGGAGGTCAAAGACAATCAACCGACTTCTGAACAGTGCATAAAAATCTTCTCCCTCAGTCCTTCTGTTTACATATTAGCAAAAGCCCTAAACCCACTGCCTCCACAGAGATTGCAAGACTATAAATCTTTACCAAAGCAGACAGCCTCATCTTTCTCCCATGGAGAGGCTGGTGGGTTTGAGGCTGGTAGGACCACCAATGCTAACTTCACTGCATGCCTAGGGTGCCTTTTACATATAAGCCTCTTCAAATTGTCTGAATTTCTCCTAACTCAGTCTTCCCTCAATGTGGTTAAGCATGTTTAAGGGTTAGGCATCCTGGTATGGCACTTCAGGAAAATGCGCAGGATGACAAGGTCAGTTTGAACCACAAGGTAGGCAGTTCAAACCCACCAGCCACTGTTCGGAAATCCTGCATAGCGTTGGTATGGGTCAGAACTGACTCGACAACACCTAACAACAACAAGGGCTAGTATTGGGACTGATCCAGGGAGTGAAAAGGATTCCTATAAAAATCAAGCAGGCTTCTCCCCTGTGACCAACCAGGGAAGACACTAAGCTGCGCTAACATTACAGGGATTTGCAACGATCCTGACAGAGGTGAGAAAGGGATATGGCTAAATTCCAGCCGAAGACGCTTCTGACCATCACTTGGAGCCCAAAGAGGAACTGGATTTATGAAAAGAGATAACACAAAAGATAAAAGAGGGGTATACTTTTCCTTTACAGAAAGACCACACACCAGGCTTCCCGGTTCTGCCACATACCGCTTGTGCCACACTGAACAAGCTGATACACATCTCTGATCATGTTTGTGAATATATAATCACAGTAAACATTTACTGAAAATGACCAAGAGCCAGGAACTGTACTAAGTGCTTCATACACAAGATCTCAGTGAGTACTCCTAGCAAAACCTTATAGCAATACTATCTTCTTCTTTGCCTAGTAGAGTTATCTCGAACAAATGTTTCCATTCCAGTTGCATATTTACAAGGTAGGGCCAGTAAGAATCACATCGACTCCTAAGAGGTGTTGTAAAGAGGTAGCAAAACTATGCACAGAAAGTATATCCTATGCTGTCAGGCAAAAAGTGCTCACAAAACACTAGGCTCTTCCCATCAGCCTCATTTTCAAGAAAAGAAAGGCCGAGGTTGGGGGAGGCCCAGGCCGATGCTTGTGACAATGTGTGATTCCACTAGACTGAAAATTAAACTTGCTTTTCCAGAAAACCAACAGCAGATCTGCTTTGAGAATGATCAAGTTATACAGAATGCACAAAAACCACTTGTTTGGGCTCAAATGAAATTTCCCAATAAAAGGGGTACTGCTGTTAGGCGTCCTGGTGTGGCGGGCGCTGTGGGTTAATGCACAGAACTGCAAAGTTGGTTTGAACTGCAAGGTTGGCAGTTCAAGCTCACCAGCTGCTCCTCCGAAACCCCATACAGGGTTGCTATGGGTCAGAACCAACTCTGTGGTGCTTAACAACAACAAACATTGCTGTTAAATGCCACTGATTCAGTTCTAACTCATCAAGATCCTGTATAAGGTTTCCAAGGAGTGGCTGGTGGGTTTGAACCACCAACCTTGTGGTTAGCAGTCCAGTGCTTATCCTATAGCGCCACACCAGGATGCTAATAAAAGGGGTTGCTGTTGTTAAGTGTGTCTAGTCAGTTTCTGACATTCTTGGATTTCCAAGGAGTGGCTGGTGAGTTTGAACCGCCAACTTGGCAGTTCAAACCGACCTTGTGGTCCATTGCTCATCCTACAGCACTACACCAGTACTCCAATAAAAGGGAAATGAAAAAAGAATTCCCCCTTTCCTCCCAAGTGTCTTCATCTCAGGTCTCTTACACTTGTTTCTGAAGCAGGACAAGGACAGGGATACCCCTAGAGCCACAACCAACAAGGCTGCAGGCTGGGCAATTCGTGAGGGGCCAGGGATGGCTTCATGGAAAATGTTTCCATAAATGGGCATGTTTGCCTCAATCCCAAGGCTCGCACAGAAAAGTAATGATAACAAATCCATAACAAATACCTTGTACAGAATAACATGCCTATTTCAGACTTGATCATAAAAAACATGGTGTTTACAAGGCGAGACCTGGAGGCTTCTAAAAGACTCAGCTGACCCGGAGGCTTCTAAAAGACTCAGCTCATTTGGGTTTGAGGAAAAGCGACCCACCTAAGGTCATGGACTCATACTAGGCTACACCACCACCAGGGACAAACAGTACATTTTCTTTTAAATTCATCAAAGGTCAGTTTATATTGTCTTCAAAGAGAAAAATAAACATTTGCATTGCTAGAAGCATTGCAAAAACCTAGTTCTAACGAGGGGTTTCTGTCCATGTAAAGAAAAAGGACGAAGGGCTCCACAGAAATGGATTTTCACCAATAGCTATGTGCCATTGGACAATTTACTTAACCTCACTGCACCTAAATTGTCTTATACACCCAACAGAAATCCTCATAAACTTGGTGCAGTGATTACATGAGCTAAATTAGATGCCCAGCATACCACTGCTCCATGGATAGGAGCCATGTCTTTGGAAGGCACCAGAGAAACACGAATCTTCCTTCCAGCAATACTATCATATTTTGTTAAGGGTCATAGAATGACTTTTCAGTTCAGCATCTTCAAGCTTCTGCTCTTTAAGAAATCCTAAAATAGTGTCTTTAAAAAGGTAAACCCAACAAATCTAGGAGGCTGCACCAAAACACGCACACACAAACATGCAAAAATCTATGCAAAGCAATTTACTACTAAGTCAGCCTGGCCGCCCCTTGCCAAATCCTGGCCAGTTAGCAAATGAATCTTCTATGCTTTTAATACTAGGACCAAATGCTCAGACCTTGGGTTTCTAAACATTTATTTTTGCTTCCTGACATTTTCTTTAGATTCCTGGCTTTGATTGGTACTTTCCTTCAAAGGATAAAAAATCCTGCCTCCCCCTTCACCCCAACTCTCTGTTTGGGGAGAAAATGTACAGGGGGCAAAAGCCATCATCTCTTTAGACATTTGTAGCAGCGACTCTACAGGAAAGGAGGCTGGGTAGCTCCTAACACACTCAGTTGCTAACCCAAAGATTGGTAGTTCAAACCCACCCAGTGACTCTGTGTAAGAAAGGCCTAAGCCTACAAAGTCCTATGAAGCCATTTTTCTTTGTAATGCATAGAGTCACGACCACCCCTCACAACAAGCTGCACAGAAGAAGAAAAAAAAAAAAATCCCACTTTTATTGAACACACCTGTAGAGCGTGGCGGCAACTACCCAGGTATCTGAGATCCCTGAGGTTAACCTGGAAGGGTTCTTTAAGTGCGTAGGAATTGAGGGTGGGTCTGGAAGAAAACCAGACTGCAATAAATGAACTGCGTATCAAAGTCAGCCTTTCATCTCTTTTCTAGTGAGCACGTGCTTTTAAGTGATTCCACACATTACCAACGTGAAAAGCAATGCTTCCAAATCCAGTTGGAACATCCCTCTGCCTGCCTGTGATAGATAGCAAATAACTTCTCAGAGAAGTTTCTTTTCTGTGCCTATAAGGTTGATTGATTGAAGTCGCCCGGCTGAGATTTCTCTAAGGGAGGCTCCTTAAAAAGAATCAGCTGGGATTTCTAAAGTCATACAAAAACAAAACTTTTTTTCTGGAAAGGTGTAATTCCATTGGAGTTGAACACCTGCATCAATGTCTTTAACAAATGCTGATGCTGGTTAGAGACAATCTATGATGATGGGACACTGAAAAATGAAAATAGTGAGCCCCATTTCCCTTACTCACCCCCACCCCCAGACACAGCCCCTGGAGGATGCCTGCCTGCAGGATTCCCAAACCAACCCCCAACACTAACCTCCCCTGGAGGACCATCACTACTTACAGAGCTCCCACTGGGGGAAAGAGCGGAGAAGAGACAGGGCAGAGGGCTCGGACCCGGGCACACCTCCCAGGCTCGGGCGTCCAATCTCCCGGTTCTCCCAGGACGCCTCTCTATATAGACCCGGAGCTGTCCGCGGGTGGGAACGGGAGGCGGACTGTCCGACGGGGGCGGACTCGGGGAGGGTCCTGCGCACGGCCCTCTGCAGCGCCCCCTGCAGGGTCCCAGAAACGACACTTTGCCCAGGTCCTAGGGGGCTTCCATGGCGTACTAGACCGGGTGTCCCATCCCAGGTCCCTAGAAAAAGTGGTGAAAGAGCAGCGTGTACAGGGAATGGTTGAGAATTTCTTCCGTCTTTCCCGCCATACGGGCTTTAACTTCTTCCAGCTAAGAAGAGTGGTGCATCACTTAACCCAAACCCCCTCCCCAAGCTAAGTAGACAGCAAGGAAAGGGGATTTCGTGAACTTTTGCAAAGTGCAAAGCAGGAGGTCTGGGCTGCTGGGAACTGTGCAGGAAAGGGAAATTTTTCCCTTTCCCAGCTTGCCATACACAACCCATTCACACCTTCACAACCACACACACCCATACAAAAATCCCCCTGCTGGGTTTTCAGGACCCGAGTGGGCCATTTGCTGGCTGCATGACCTTGGGCAAGTCATTCTGCCTCTATGCCTCTCTGTCAGCAGCTAAGAAATTGGGGGACTGGAGGGGTGATAATGACGTCATTTGCACTGGTGCGTGTTCAAAGAGAGTGGGAGCAAGCAGGCGGCGCTTGCAAGTTTCCTTCAACTGCCCCCCAAACTCCACTCCCAGGAAACCCTTGCAGATGGGGAAGGAGCAGTCTAATATTTCGTTCCCCGCATACTCGTCTTCCCTCCCCTCCCCCCGCTGTCTCTCTCTGCGATGTCTCTCCCGCATGTCTCACGCTGTCTCTGGCCCTAGCCTCGTGCCTCGCCCTCCCCCTCGGCTCCCATCTCGGTCACACGCACGCACACACGGGCCTTAAAAGGCAGTCGTGGCGGTGGGCTGGCCGCGCGCCAGGCCGGGTCGCCGGCGGTCCCAGCGCTCAGCTCCCGCCCGGCTCAGGCTCCGATCTTCCCGGTCCGGGCGCGGCGGATGAGGGGCGCTGGGCGGGAGACATCCCAAAAAGGGCAGGCGCGGGCTCCTTCCAGCAGGAATTCCCAGCGCCGCATACCAGCCTCGGGCTGCCCGCTCCCCCTGACTAAATATGGTGCCGAGCGGCCTCGCAGGCAGCGGGGTGCGGGGGAGGGAACCCTTCACACACACACCCCTGCCTGCTGCAGTAGCCGGGCGGGTGGGAAGGGGGACCCCTCTGCTTGCCCCCATGTGGGTGCTAGCTGCTTCAAGCCCAAAGGCTTGAGGTGGGGGTTAAGGGAGTTGGGGAACCCGTCTAGGCTCCGTGCCTGGCACCTGGCCTGTCTCATGCAATGCCCCGCCACTGAAACCAGGTAAGGTGAAGGAGGGTACGTTGTTAATGCTCCCATTTTGCTGGAGAGAAAACCGAGGTCCTAGAAGAGTGAGCTGCCCAAGCTCTCACTGGGCCAGCCATTGATTGGCTCTATGACTGGAGACCACGTGTGAGTCACCATTCAGTTCCAGAGTGGAGACAGTCAAGGCAGAAGCCCAACAACTGAACTAGCCCAGCTGAAGGCCTGGGCGCTGTGGTCAGAGGCCTGAGTCTCAATCTACCAGTAGGACTGGTGACCGGTTTAGTTTCTCAAAGCCTTGGTTATCCCACCCATCAAATGGGAAGAACACTTTTTTTTGTAAGCTGTCCTGGAGCTGAGCTACTTACTGAACAAATCCTAGTGCTGCCTGTTAGTTGCTGTCTCTCTACAAACAGGAAAACCAGTAGAATTGCACCAGGCCTTGGGAACATAATGGCAGCTGGGAGCTGCCCTGCCCTGCCTTCTCTCCAGAGCTCTGCCTCTGAGACATCCCTCTAACATCAAACTCACCTTTTTTTCATCCCTGAAAGCACCTGAGCCCAGCCTAAATCAAAGGTCAGAGCAGGCTGTATTCAGCTGGCTCGGAGAGGTTAGGGATAGCCCTCTCTGGAGGATGATGAATGAGCTGCTTTTCCCACGTGCCTTTTAATGCCTACACTGTAAAAGGAATGGAAATTGTCCTTGTGTTAGTTCAGAAGTGATGAAGAGCAGAGAAACCATGGAGGAGGGGACTGATGTTGTTCATCAACTTCCCATGCTGTGGAGATAACCAAGAGCAGGCTCTCAGGAACTGGCTGGCCTCAAAGTAAGAACTGGCATTTTCAATTGTTAACTTTTAGGAAACATAGACTAATAAATGGAGGCTACATTACACTAATTTTACTACATTCTCTCTCATAATAAGGACCCTGGGTAGTACAAACAGTTTGCACTAGGTTGACCAAAAGGTTGTCAGTTTAACTCATCCAGAAGTGCTGTGGAAGAAATACCTGGCAATCTGCTTCCATAAAGACTCCAGCCAAGAAAGCCCTATGGAGCACAGTTCTACTGTCATACACGAGGTCACCATGAACTGGAATCAATAATAACAGGCTTGGATTTTTGGGTTATTTCTCATAACCAGGATGGTGTTGATGTTAAGTGCCATCAAGTTAGTTCTGATTCATACTGACTCTGTATAGGGTTTCCAAGGAGCTGCTGGTGGATTTGAAACACAGACCCTGTGGTTAGCGGTCCAGTGCTTATTTTACAGCACGACTCCAGGACTCCCATAATAATGGCATAGTCTATATTATGAAATAATAACAGTCATGATGTGGTGCTTTAGGATAAACACTGGACTGCTAACCATAATGTCGGCGGTTCAAACTCATCAGTTACTCCTTGGAAACCCTATACATGGTTGCTATGAGGTGGGGCTGAATCCATGGCACTTCAAGTATTGTAGTGGTTACAAGAGTCTGACTGCTAATCTCAAGGTCAGCATTTTGAAACTACCAGCGGTTCAGTGGGAGAAAAACGAGGCTTTCTGGTCCTGTAAAGATTTATAGCCTCAGAAACCCTATGCAGGGTTACTACCAGTGAGAAACAACTCCATGGCACATAACCACCACCAGTCCTAGTGGGTTTCTTTTTCCTTTTTTATTGTTGAGAAACCAGATTGAGAGAGGTTAATAATCTGGTCAAAGCAGAATCTGACGTAAGCAGATGAAGTTTTTAACCCCAGATCTGCTAAGCACCAGCCAGCCAGCTACAGGACTGTCTGTGAACTGCTCTGAACCAGTTTTCTCAAGGACAAAGATGGTCAGAATCTACTCAAGTTCTACTCAACTACCTTGCTGGGCAGTTGGTCGTCTGTACACATGAAAGCCTTGTATATAGTGTTCCATGACTTTCTGGCATGCTCTATAAGAGTCCAGAGGCACTATGTGCATATTAACAGTCATTTAATAAATACGTGTCCAATGCACACAGCTCAGACTTCAACACTGTATGGTTATACTAATTAGATGCCTGTTTTAATTCACATGACCTTAAAAAGCTAGCTATTTTCCTATTGAGGGGAGGGAAAGTTACTTTAAATAAACTGTCGCTTTGACTGAATTCTGACAAGTCGTTTTCCGTGAGGTGCCATGAAACGGGAGTTTCCAGGAACTCATGAAGCAAGATGGCAGAGGGGAACTTTCTCCCTTGGACTGTCTTTTTGTCAAACATCTTTGCTTTCACTATGAAATTCACAAGGCCTCAGAGTGTGATTCCCTCCCATTTTTAGTTAATGTCCAAGATTGGATACTTAATGTTTGATTGTGCGTTAGGATGTTAATGGTTCAAAGAGTCAGCATTCAAATCCATCTGGTTCAAGATCTGCACAGATCTTTTCCTCCTTGTGAATAAAGGGACATCTTCCCTGGCCACAAGGAGCCCTAGTGACACAGTGGTTAAACAGCTGCTAACTAAAAGGTCAATGGTTCAAACCTACTGTGGGAGAAATGTAGCAGTCAGCTTCCTTAAAGACTGTTGTTGGTAAGTACCATCGAGTTAGTTCTGAATCATAGCAACCCTGTATAGTTTCCAAGGTGAGTTTGAACTATGGACCTTTCACTTTATCCTGCAGCACCACACCAGGATTCCTCCCTAAAGATTACAGCCTTAGAAACTCTATGAGACAGTTCTACTCGGTCCTGTACAGTCGCTATGACAAAATCGACTGGACAGCAACAGGTTTGGGTTCGGTTTTATTCCTGGCCACAAGCATGGCTTAGCTCCAGCTCGTTTGCACAAATGCAATTTTGTTTGATCTACGGTGGCCCCATGCTTCTCCAGGTACAAGACACACAAGGATCTTTCCTTCATCACAGATTCCTAACTCTGGTGTTAGAAACTTCTACCTCTATCTCAGGAAGGATTCCAAATTTCTCAATAAAAGTAGTTCAGATGGATGATTACAAAAATAGAATAAATCACTGTGTAACACCAAGTGGATGAGAAGCTGTCATCAGTAATATTAAGGGCATATTCTCTCAAATATACAAAAATGTGTTCTTGCACGATTAACCACTTAGTTGGTTCTACATCATTATGTAAGATATGATAAGCTCAAATTCGGCCTCTTCAAAAGCCACCTGTCAGTGTTATGAGTTTTTAGACTATCCAAGTTTTCATTAAATTTCCACTTTTCCCAAGTCTCTCTCCATTTCTAACTTCCATTGTATTTGAGGAACCCCAACATTGCTCCTCTAACTTCTCTCAACCACCCTACAAAAACCACCAGCAACGTACCAAAGGCAAGCTTAGGAGACTAGTTGGATGGGATTTCGACACTTTTACTTCTTTTCCATGAACTTTTCTTTGGGTATTTTAATCTCAACTCATACACCAATTTAAACTACTAAAAAAACTGATACTGTTCATAAATCATGAGACATTTCGAAAGCAGATTTTCTCAACTTCATTACAGAAATATGTAACACACATTTCACAGTTGAACATTCTTCAGGTTTGCCGATTTTGGGATGCCAATTTACATTACTCATATTGTTGCTAAGTGCCATTGAGTCGGTTCTGACTCAGCGCCCCTATATAGGGTTTCCAAGGAGCAGCAGGTGGGTTTGAACTGTCAACTCTGAGGTTCAAACTGACCTTGGGGTTTAGTGCTTATCCTACAGAGCCACACCAGGACATCCATCACCCATACCAAATTCCCCATCACCTTAAACAGAAACATACTGCTTCCCAAACAATGTCCCCTTCCCCTATTCCTGTCCCTGGTAACCAATAATAAACTTTGGTCTCTATACACTTTCCTATTCTTGTTATTTCACAGAAGTGAAACCAGACATCAGCTGTTCTTTTGTGAATGATGTATTTCACTCAACGTGGTTCCCTGAATCGCCAAGACTTTTCTCTTTAGGTGAAGCAGTACTTCCGGTGTGTACATACGTCCACACTGTGATGTTTCCTTCCTTGGCAGATGGACACTGGGCTTGTTTCTGTCTCTTGTGAACAGTGCCACAGTGAATACCGGTGTGTGTTACTGCTTTCAAGTCTCTTGTTTTCTCAACTTGACTTAAACAGCCGAATTCCTCCTTTTTTAATAAAAAAAATCTCATAGTATTTTGAAAACAGACGTTTTTCTCTTTTGCAAATACAATGATGTCATACTAAGTATGAGAGAACTTCACAGAAAAATGGAATGAAAACATAACGGGACTATTTCCATGAACTGTTGAAGCCCCCCTTATGCTTTTTTTCAAACCATACGTGGCCCCAGATTATGACACTGTCCCCCTAGAGACAGACACCGCCAGTCCCGTTCGATCAAGATAACTGTGGCTGCCCAATACACAAAGCAGGACAGGCTGCCCTCTGGTCCCCTAGGCTGCAGGGACCCCCACTGCTCAATCATTCTTCTGGCTTTGGGGACACTTTCCTGATAATGGAACAGTGGTATGAACACCCTTTACACAAAGGAGAATTGCTTGATTTTTTTTATTAAACAATACATTTGCAGTATAAAAGCTGCCTACGTACAAATAAGTTACAGAATAATGCATACAAAAGTGACAATTTCCACTGAACTTCCGTCTTGACGATTTCTATCGGTCGCTCAAGTAAGAAGCACCAGCAGTTCTAATGGAGCCCTGCGTGATTGCAATTCCTGAGGTAAACTTAATGTTCACGGCAGGTAACCTTGAATGTAAACCACACCCGCTGAGAAATCAGGTATTTATAGTAACACTCATCATTTTCATCAGCTATTACATATTTCATTTAAAAATGGAAATGGGCCCTTACAAGACTTCCTTCTGTACATACGCTTTTAGTCTACC